AGGGACTGAACGTCTCCTTGTGTTATTCCCTTTGGCCCAGATGGATCCCTGCTCTTTCAGCAAGTGCCAATGGTGGAGATTGACGGGATGAAGCTGGTGCAGACCAGAGCCATTGCCAACTACATAGCAACCAAGTACAACCTCTACGGGAAGGACGTGAAGGAGAGAGCCCTGTACTGTAACAGCACCACCTTTGCCTGTTAGAGCCCAGCTCACACTGCAGCCCAGTGTAACACAGGGGTGTCCCAGCTCACAGCTGGAGTCAGTGGGAGACAGCAGCGCTGCTTTAAAGGGCAGCATGAGATGACTGTGACTGCAGCTGATGTCCAGAGCAGAGACAGCCAGCTGGATTCCACAGGGCAAGCGAGCCCAGGAATCATCAGTCAGAGCTCAATGCTCTTATCAGAAGAAAGCAGTCACATGGGCAGTCTGTCCTACTGATGCTGCCTTTCATTTTCTCCTGCAGTTGTCAGCAGCAGCAGCATTTTCTCCTCATCACATTCAGAGCAATGTCTTTTAAGGAAACAAAACCCTTCCTCTCTCTAGTAGCCAGGAATTTGAATGGAATTAATAACAGGTTATCACAGGGCGGGATTTCTGGAGCACATGTTTTGACCTGAGGTATTTATGAATGTTTGAAATGAATAAGTACTGGTAAACACTTGTGTCAAGATATGTCCTAAATTGTTGTATGGCCTTGCTGTTTACATTAGGCTGTCTGATTGGATTTTGAAGACAATTCTGGATGGCACACATGACAATTTTGTAATCAGATTCAAAACCTTATACTCCAGACAGGAATAAGTGCCAGTAAGAAGAGAGAGGGCTACATTCTTTAGGTTTCCCTAGGAATTTTGCATTTGCCTTTGGCCCAAACTCCCTCCCTGCCTGTCCCCAGTGCAACTGCATTCCAGGGGGAACTTTGGGGGTAGGAAGGGGCAGGGATTTCCCAGCATCTCAGTGAGGTTGTGCCAGGAGTTATTGTGCTGTTCAGACCTACTGTGTGTGACCTGACCAGTGGATCTTTTCCTTTCAGAATCGATATGTACGTGGAAGGAATGTTCGATCTCAATGAGTTACTAATGGCATATGGCTACCAACCAGCAGACAAAAAAGAGCAACATTTTGCAAATATGATGGACAAGGCTGAAAACAGATACTTCCCAGCCTTTGAGAAGGTATGTGGCCAAGGACTTGTGGCTCAGCTGATACTGTTACCTTGAAACTCCTTCCTGGATCTACATAAATTTTACGTGGGGAAACAGAAACAGGCTATGGCTGGAATATCAATGCTTTGATTTTTGTGGTGTTGGGATTAAGGTGGTGAAAGGACACTACAGAGGGAACAGAAGGCACTTCAAATCTGGGACAGATGTACAACTGCAAAAACCCAGCACACATAGAGCTCCCCAAATGTCCGTGTTTCAATGTGGGTGTTTCAGACAAAAGACACTACAGCTTTGATATCAAGTTTCCTCCTGAAGTGCAGATGACCCTGTACCTTACATGCTGTATAAAAGCATTGCAGTTCCTTCTGTATCTCGTACAGCTCAGCCTTCAATGCAGCTACAGCAGCCAAGGCAAGATGAGCACAACTGAGCTGCCAGACAGAAATGTAGAAGTGAAAGAGCTGATAGATGATGCCTAGGATGGCAGTGTCTTCAGGTCATTGTTTGTACTACAGGTGTTTGAACTGCGTTTCCTTCTTTCACAGACAACTCTGCAGTATGTGACCCTGCTTTGAAGATGTCACATTATTTCTGAGAAAAGAACAGAGAAAAGACATCATCTGCTTCTGTTCTCTGTTTTTAGGTTTTGAAAGACCATGGCAAAGACTTTCTGGTTGGCAACCAGCTGAGCAGGGCAGATGTTCAATTACTTGAAGTCATTTTAATGGCAGAGGAGTACAAACCTTCTATACTTGCCAAATTTCCTCTCTTGCAGGTAAATGAATGGGGAATTTGAATGGAGAATGAATGGAAAGGAGCACTGATTTATAGTGGCTGAGAAATATGGGAGAGTGGGAGGGTCAGAAGTGATATGCAAAATGAGAAAAATATACTAAGTACTGCACCTCGCCTCACATACTCTATGTTATTTCCACATTCTGTCACTACAACCCCAAAAGCATAAGAGGGGGAAGCATACAGATTCTTCTGCAGCATCAAGCCATGACGGAACTTTTATAGCACGGGTAACATTGTCTGACAGCTGCAAAGATTCTTAAGCACTGTGATGTTTTGATTTTGTTTTGTAGAGCTTCAAAGCAAGAATAAGCAATATCCCCACAATTAAGAAATTCCTGCAGCCTGGCAGCCAGAGGAAACCACGAACAACAGAGGAAGATGTTGCCAAAGCAATGAAAATATTCCGCTCCTGAGTAGCAGTTTATCCCCATACAAGCTGTATTTCATTGTGTTTGATATTAGTGACAAAGTGAAATTAATGGAATGAGTGAAAGAAAAGGATTATGATTTCTTTTTCCTTAGTTACAGGGCTAGTTTTTGCCCACTGCAGACACTTTAAGGTAAAGCTACATGAGTGTACCAGCAAAAGAAATAGTCCGCTAAACACGGGGTGTTTTGGACAACACAGAATGCCTTAAATAACTAAAGAAAATACCTGAAATAAATTCTTACTACTGATACTCAAAACCCAGCGGGTCATTGATTTCTTGCTGCTACTTCTATGCCTAAGATCTGTCTGGTTCTGGATTTCTGGCATTCCCAAGAATTGTTGCAAAATTAGGCGTGATTATCCCAGAGAGTAGGTCTTTGTCACAGTAGAGCTAGTCTGCAGCTGGACAGATAAATCTGGCTATAATATGAAACCTAACTTGGCTCTTCTAGTTCAATAAACAACTGCCTAGGTGAACAGTGGTAGGATAGATTTGAACTCAAACAGAGCACCTAATCCCTTTCAAGCATACATGCAGAGACATTGCTGGTCCAGGTACTGGGCAGTGTTAAGACCAACCAGCACTTGAGACCCGGTAGTTTTGAGGTGCCTATATAAGAAACTCTGAACAATAAAACCCGCTGTTTGTTGAGGATTTCTCTCTGTGAGACCGTGTTGTTTCTGCTGCAACCAACCACCCACAACATAAGAGGTCATGTATTTTTTCTCTTGGAAATTCATAGAAAGCCTGCAGGTTCTGGCTAGCTGAGGCTGGAAGGTTTGGGTTCAGCTTTCCTCTGAGCTTAATATGGAATATGCTTGGACCAGAGCTCCTACTGCACCTCTGCTTTGTCACTAGACACTTAAACTCTTGTACTGCAGCTTCACCAATGTTCCCTTTATCAGAAGGTCTGTTGCAGCAGCTAAAAGCCCTCTGCAGTCTCTGAGAAACAAATGCTGGTCACCAGCTTAAAACTTGCTGAGGAACGAGGAGTCTGGATGTTGTCAGGTCTTAGTGAGACCCTTGAACGTAGGAATCCATATTGACTTACATCCCTTTATATTAAACCAAATTTTGTACGAATTGTAGTCAAGTTGTTCATTCTAATCACTCAGATCAAGCTCCACTACTGAGGTTAGCAAGACTGTTGAACTTGGATCAATATGTGCATTTATGTAGTGAAATGTGTTCCTGCCCAGGGCAGGAGGGTTGGAACTAGATGATCTATGAGGTCCCTTCTAACCCAAAGCATTCCATGATTCTGTGATATTATTTAAACCCCAAATAAACCCAGTTTGTAAATGAAACAGTCAGTGCCCTAAATCCAGCTACAGCTAGAGCTCTGGCAGTTTTCAGCTGAGCAAACTCAGGGCTCTGTAGCTCTTGCTAAAGCCAGCAGTTTCTTCATCAGAAATGTCATGCAGCTGGAACCAGTTTTTGTCATCAAAGAAAAAAAATAAGCAAATCTTTTTCAGCAGCAAAGCATGGATTCAAGAGAGTTGTTGCAGGAGCTGTTTCCCTCCTGCCTCACTGAAGCATTCAGACAACACTGGAGCTGCTGAGTGCTGTCAGAAACTCAAGGCAGAAACTTGGGCTGTGGGTGCTGACTCCATGCCACGAGGCATGCTCTGAGGATGAGCTTGGGTCATGGCCATGTGGTTTCAGGATTCCCCACAGAGATCCCAGTGTTCGGCCACTCAGAGCCAGAGCCCCTGGCACAAAGAGTGCTTGCACCCCTTGCACAGGGGCTGCAGCCCCAGGCCCTGCTGGTCACACAATCCCTGCGGGGGGGGGGGACTCCAAGCCTGTCCCTGATGTGTCCTGACCATGTCCCTGATGTGCAGCTGCCTCGGAGGACTATCCCATCTCACAGCTATGTTAAGGGAAAATCAGCAAAATTTTGCATGTGTCTGTTGACCTTGAGTGCAGGTCCTGCCTACATCAATATTAACCACGTAGATTAGATAGGCAGGATGGTGCATGGGGGATTATTCTGTATTGACTTTTTGAAATCAATAGAGTTGGCCAAAGAAAACAGTTGGGAGTGCAGAGGGCAGTTTGCCATGTGATACCACACTTCATTCACTGTCTCTCACAGTTCTCCATGGTGTGTATTCTCACGGAATCAAATTCAGACAAATGTTTTCTGCAGAAAAAAATTCAAAATCAGCCCTGCTGCCTGGAGATGAAATTGAGCAGAAGTGTCCTGAAGGAATATACACTAAGCAAGGCATAGAAGCTTGTGACAGATTAGAGCTGAATTAATTGATGTGATTTATGTAAAGTGGCAATGTGTAGAAACTAAACAACGAGAAAACATTAGAATAAAAGTGGGATTGGCATAGCAGTATTTTTTAAATCTGAATGAGTGTTTCAGATATTGTAATTAATTTTAACTAGGAAATAGGAGGCATATTACCATTGTGTGCTGACACAGATGTTTCCAATGATCATGGTCTCTCATGTATCGTATATTTCTACATTGTCAGCATGAGTCAGGAATTTATTTTCTGTAGGTGCGAAGTAACTAAGCAGAGATAATGGGTTTTATTTGCTTAAGAGAAAGTGGTTTCCCATTTGCAGACAGTCATTTCTGATACTTGGTGTAGGAGGGGCTCCAGAGTTATATATTCTCTAGGCAGAACTGCTGAGAGGTTAGAGTGAGTTCCACTGTGCACAATGTAAGTGGGTATATTATTTTGGATATGCTGGGAGTTGTTGAATGTGATTGAAGTAATTGAATGGGTTTTATAGATTAAATGTGTGTATGTACTTTCTTTACAAACATGGTTATGTGCACCAAATGATAATTCTTAATCAGCTGCTTTCGAGAGGGACAGAATTAAAAAAAAGTAGATCCCACAGTGGGGAGTGTCCTCTGACCTCCTCCTTCCTACTGCAGAGAAGCTGACATGTTATTTACAAGGGGAATATGGTGGTGGTTTGGCTGTGTCCCTTCTGCTGTGGTTAAAGCTTCAGCCTTGTTGCTGGCAGGGTGTCAATAGCTGTGAGGCTGGTGGAGCTGGGCGCTGTTTGTGGCTGATGTGCACACGTGGTTCTGAGTGGGTGGGTGACAGTCTGCCTAGAAAATGTTGTTGCTTTAAGTTTGTGCCTAGAAATTGTTGTTGCTGGAAGTTCCAGCAGAGTTGGAACTGGACCAAGCAAGCATTGCCCTGAGGCTGTGCCTGTGCTAAAGGCAAATCTGATGCTACCAGAAGCAAAATATATTTCCATGTTTTGGAAGTTTGTCTAAAGAAATCAGAGAAGCAGGGAGTGTTGTAGAAGAGGTTGACTGATGGTAAGAATTCCTTCCTGGCTGGAAGCATAATGGAGCATAATAGCTGCTGGAGAAAGCAGAGCAATTGCTGACTTTATAGCATGTATCTGATTAAACAGTAAACTGTATTCTGAGATAACGCCAGAATAGGCAAAGAGCACCCTCTGCTTTCTGGTCAGAACAGAACACTTTGGATGGAAGTGGTTTTGATTGAGTGGTTCTCTGTCTGAGCCAACTGCTGCGATTACAGAGTTCTACTTAAATATTCTGCATGTGTAAGTAATGTTTGAAGGCAGAATGATACAAGGCAGTCTCTCCATACATTCTAGCTTTTACCTCCACTATTGATTGATTCATGTCTTGGACGATAAATCATTGGTTTCAAACAAGACAACTTTGAAAGTGAATTAGATAGCTGGATCCAGTATTGTGAATGTTTATTATGCAAACCTTTTTTCTTCATTGCAGATACTAGGGAATCAGGCACAAGGAAACATGTCTGGAAAACCCAAGCTGCACTACTTCAATGGACGAGGTCGGATGGAACCAATTCGGTGGCTCCTGGCAGCAGCTGGGGTTGAGGTTTGCTTCTGGTCTTTTATACTGAGATCCTGTGGCAAATATGTGCTTTTATTGTTCCTTCTGAAAGGTGTGACTGAGCAGCAGTTTCAAGCTCTGCCTTTAGTGCATTGCTGAGCAAGGCACCAGTGACCACGAGCTTACCCTAAGCAGGGGCGAGTTCCTGTCACACTTGCATACATAATTTGCAAAGCCCACTGGTAGCCCCCAAATGGTTTTCCCCTGTAGCTAGAGAGAAAAGAATTTTAAAACCCAAGCAGCTGAATCTGGTTTGATAATTTTCTGACCACATAGGTCAAATAGCTGCAATTCTGAGCACCTTCAGTTAAATTCCCATGTCCAAACCTACAGGTTTGGTTTTTCCTCTGACAGATTGTGATACTAAATCAGGGATGGTATATGAGAATCTGTGTGTTTCAAAATGCAGGGGTTTCTGTCACAGTGATGGCGAATTTGCCCAGAAGTTTTGAAATGTGATTTATATTTTAGAAAAAATAATTGCCCAAAACACATTTCTTTAGTCCTTCTTTACCTAAATGACGAAGAAGCTAAATCATGGAATGACAACAGAACTTTTTTTCTCTCCTTTCGACAGTTTGAAGAATCTTACCTGGAAAAAAAGGAGGATCTGAGCAAGTTACAGAAGGGTAAACTTCTTTCACTTTTAAATTACAACAGCTGCAATGGTTAAAATAAGAAGAATCATAACTAAAATTAGAATTAGAGGTACCTGTTTGAGAACACTTAAGAATTCTTAAGTCTTAGAGGTAAACACTTGTGTCAAGATATGTCCTAAATTGTTGTATGGCCTTGCTGTTTACATTAGGCTGTCTGATTGGATTTTGAAGACAATTCTGGATGGCACACATGACAATTTTGTAATCAGATTCAAAACCTTATACTCCAGACAGGAATAAGTGCCAATAAGAAGTGAGAGGGCTACAGTCTTTAGGTTTCCCTAGGAATTTTGCATTTGCCTTTGGCCCAAACTCCCTCCCTGCCTGTCCCCAGTGCAACTGCATTCCAGGGGGAACTTTGGGGGTAGGAAGGGGCAGGGATTTCCCAGCATCTCAGTGAGGTTGTGCCAGGAGTTATTGTGCTGTTCAGACCTACTGTGTGTGACCTGACCAGTGGATCTATTCCTTTCAGAATCGATATGTACGTGGAAGGAATGTTCGATCTCAATGAGTTACTAATGGCATATGGCTACCAACCAGCAGACAAAAAAGAGCAACATTTTGCAAATATGATGGACAAGGCTGAAAACAGATACTTCCCAGCCTTTGAGAAGGTATGTGGCCAAGGACTTGTGGCTCAGCTGATACTGTTACCTTGAAACTCCTTCCTGGATCTACATAAATTTTACGTGGGGAAACAGAAACAGGCTATGGCTGGAATATCAATGCTTTGATTTTTGTGGTGTTGGGATTAAGGTGGTGAAAGGACACTACAGAGGGAACAGAAGGCACTTCAAATCTGGGACAGATGTACAACTGCAAAAACCCAGCACACATAGAGCTCCCCAAATGTCCGTGTTTCAATGTGGGTGTTTCAGACAAAAGACACTACAGCTTTGATATCAAGTTTCCTCCTGAAGTGCAGATGACCCTGTACCTTACATGCTGTATAAAAGCATTGCAGTTCCTTCTGTATCTCGTACAGCTCAGCCTTCAATGCAGCTACAGCAGCCAAGGCAAGATGAGCACAACTGAGCTGCCAGACAGAAATGTAGAAGTGAAAGAGCTGATAGATGATGCCTAGGATGGCAGTGTCTTCAGGTCATTGTTTGTACTACAGGTGTTTGAACTGCGTTTCCTTCTTTCACAGACAACTCTGCAGTATGTGACCCTGCTTTGAAGATGTCACATTATTTCTGAGAAAAGAACAGAGAAAATACATCATCTGCTTCTGGTTCTCTGTTTTTAGGTTTTGAAAGACCATGGCAAAGACTTTCTGGTTGGCAACCAGCTGAGCAGGGCAGATGTTCAATTACTTGAAATCATTTTAATGGCAGAGGAGTGCAAACCTGATACACTTGCCAAATTTCCTCTCTTGCAGGTAAATGAATGGGGAATTTGAATGGAGAATGAATGGAAAGGAGCACTGATTTAAAGTGGCTGAGAAATATGGGAGAGTGGGAGGGTCAGAAGTGACATGCAAAATGATAAAATATCCTAAGTACTGCAGCTGGCCTCACATACTCTTTTTTTTAATTTTTGGTATCTTCTGTCACTACAGCCCCAAAAGCATAAGAGGGGGAAGCATACAGGTTCTTCTGCAGCATCAAACCATGATGGGACTTTCAGAGAGGTTACAAATGCATTATATACTTTTCTCTCCTGAGCATCTTAATACAGTAGAACCAATCTATACCTTAACTTCTATCTATAGCCTATCATAACTAATACAATTACCATATTCATGTTAGTATTCTCCAATCACTAAAGATTAGTACATTACAGTTTAAGCTAGAAGTTGTTCTTCAGTTTTCTTGCAGTGGAAAATTCTGAGACCTTTTTTCTACTTGCAACATTTGCTGACTTGTTTGCCTGTGCTATCTTTCTGCTTGGTAAAAACATCTTCTTGTTTGAGGTGGGTTTATCCTTTGTTCTAAGTCATAAAAACCCCCTTCTAACTAACATACCCTTTGCCTCCTTGGTTATCCAGTAAGACTGGCTCAGCAATTCTTTCCTTCTATATCAAAACTTGCTTCCATCTCTATTCCTTCCTCAGCTTCTACATTCAAAAATCTTTCTGCTAAGCATACATATCTGTGAGACTTTCTTGTCAAACTTTCATCCTTCCCAACAGGCCTTAGATTTGATTTTTCCAAAGTCATGATGACTTTTCAGTTGCTTTGGACAAGGGTTTCCCGTAGGACCAGTGCTTCCCAGTGGCAGGGAATATTTGTGATGTGATTAAAATCCTGTACTTCTGCATATGATGGTAAGCAAAACCAAAGCGCAAAGTGCAGCTCCAAACCACCAGCACATCCTTTTCTTCTGGGTTTGCCCAGCCTAGCACTGCAAATGCCTGCTCTGGCCCATGTCACAGTCTGAAATAATAATTTAACAACAACAGCTCTGCAAACAGCAAGAAATGTAAAACAGTGGCACTTTGATTCCTGTGACAACATTCCTCTGACCCACAGCACAACCAAACCACAGCACAGCTACCACAGGGTCTGTCCTTCAGGATGCACACTGGTTTGGGCTGACAGAAGAAATTCAGTATTTTCTGTGTTTGGCTATTGCAATAACCAGTGTGTGTGACCATTCCTTTGCTCATGAGCTCAGTGTCATGTCTGGAAAAGGAGAAGTCACAGAAAAATCATGGATATAAACACGTGCTCTTTTCCCAGCCATAGAAATTTTTCTCTTCCCTTATATTTTCTCTGTGGTTTATCTATTAGCTTCTGCTGGATACCCTTGATTCAGTCCACAGCCTCAAAGTTTTTATATGGTTTCTGCTACACTTCGGGAATTTTGCAAATAAATCACTGTACTGGATTTGTTTTAAGAAAGCATTTGTTTGTTTTCAAATCATATACTTGGCTAAAATAAAAGGATGCAGCTCTGTGTTTTCTCCCAGGCTGGTTGGGTTCCAGTGACTGTTTGCTGCTCTAAGTCTGCAGGGGATGAAGGAGACGGGGTTGGGGTAAACCTGCAGTGAGCCCTGCTTCCAGGTCTGTGTGACCTGTGCCTTCGGACAGCTCTGAGCCTCTCCTCAGCTGCAGAGGGAGGTTCTCTCCTCCATCCAGCCCCCGTGGGGAGGTCAATAACTCACCCTGGTTTCAGCTAGAGAAGCCTGCTATCCCAGGGCACCTGGTTTGTCTTGATTTTGCCACTCACCTGAGAAGAGGAATTGTGACTTCACAGTGCCCATTGCTCTCCGTGGGCTTCAAAGGGGATTGGAACAGTTCGTTCACATGGAGATGGCAAAGCTGTAGTGATTTTAGGCTGATTAGTTCTTTTCCCAGTATTTTTCTTTTTTTATTTTAGGCTTTCAAAATAACACAGATCTTATTTGTATCTGGTGCATATCATACATGAACTTTCTGCTCCCACCCATTGCAGAATTTCCTAAACTGATGCCAACTGCAGAGCCTGTCAGAAAGGCACCTGGACAGTTTAACTCTTTTAAAAGGTGTCTCTATCAAAATGCCCATTAACATCTTAAAGCAGGTTTATTTTTTATATGTCAATTTACCTAATACAAAGTGGGCATTATTATGATGTCTGATGTAAACATCCTCCAGGGGCTGTAACAGAGGTAACATAATGGGCACAGATAGCAGAACGAGAGCTGCAATCAGTGATTTCAAATGACTGATCAAAAGTTGTTGCTCAGACAGTGAATGAGAAAGAATGAGATCTTCTAAAATATGAAAGATACTGCCTGATACAGAGAAGAAAGTCATGTGAAGAATAACCCTTTAAATAGCACCACCATAATAAAAAAATACATTTGTGAACGGACAGGACAAAAGTGCTGGGATCAATTGGGGCAGACCACCTTTGGTGACTGGGTTATTTGACTCTGTAACCCTGAGTCATGTTAAGGTCAGGAAATAAAGTTCACAGTCTGAGCACACTCTGGTTGTATCACACCTTGATCACACACAGGGGAAGCTGCTCCAGAAAGGAAGCACAGTTCTGGTTTATGTTATGACAACAGGAACCAGCACATTTCATAATTTCCCCTGTGCTTCAGCAACAGAACTGGCTCCTCCAGGTGAAAGCAGGACAACAATTATTTTTAGTGGCTAAAAAATTAATCTGATGTCTTCCTATCTGTCTCAGAGTTATCACTAAAGATTAGTACATTACAGTTTAAGCTAGAAGTTGTTCTTCAGTTTTCTTGCAGTGGAAAATTCTGAGACCTTTTTTCTACTTGCAACATTTGCTGACTTGTTTGCCTGTGCTATCTTTCTGCTTGGTAAAAACATCTTCTTGTTTGAGGTGGGTTTATCCTTTGTTCTAAGTCATAAATCACTAAATGTTAGTACATTACAGTTTAAGCTAGAAGTTGTTTTTCAGTTTTCTTGCAGTGGAAAATTCTGAGACCTTTTTTCTACTTGCAACATTTGCTGACTTGTTTGCCTGTGCTATCTTTCTGCTTGGTAAAAACATCTTCTTGTTTGAGGTGGGTTTATCCTTTGTTCTAAGTCATAAAAACCCCCTTCTAATTAACATACCCTTTGCCTCCTTGGTTATCCAGCAAGACTGGCTCAGCAATTCTTTTCTTCTATATCAAAACTTGCTTCCATCTCTATTCCTTCCTCAGCTTCTACATTCAAAAATCTTTCTGCTAATCATACATATCTGTGAGACTTTCTTGTCAAACTTTCATCCTTCCCAACAGTTTCAGACTTTGTAATTATATTTAACTAGCAAATAGGAGGCATATTGCCATTGTGTGCTAGCACAGATGTTACCAATGACCATGTCCTATCATCAACCTAATATTTCTACAATGTCAGCATGAGTCAGGAATTTATTTTCAGTAGGTGAGAGGTAACTAAGCAGAGATAAATGGTTTTGTTTACTTAAGAGAAAGATGTTACCCATTTGCAGGGAATCATTTGCAATACTTGGTGTAGGAGGGGCTCCAGAGTTATATATTCTCTAGGCAGAACTGCTGAGAGGTTAGAGTGAGTTCCACTGTGCACAATGTAAGTGGGTTTTAATATTTTGGACATGCAGGGAGCTGTTGTATGTGAAATTCAGTCATTGAATGGGTTTTATAGACTAAATGTGTGTTGGACATTCTTTACTAACATGGCTATGTATACCAAATGTTAACTCTTATTCAGCTACTTTCGAGGTGTACAGAATTAAGAAAATGGAGTGCAGATATCACAGGTGGGGAGTGTTTCCTCTCACCTCCTTCTTCCTACTGCAGATAAGCTGACATGTTTTTTACAAGGGGAATATGGTGGTGGTTTGGCCGTTTTCCTTCTGCTGCTGTTAAAGCTTCATCCTTGTTGCTGCAGGGTGTCAGTAGCTGTGAGGCTGGGCGCTGTTTGTGTGTGTTTGTGGCTGATGTGCACAGTGGGTGGGTGGGTGACAGTCTGCCTAGAAAATGTTGTTGCTTTAAGTTTGTGCCTAGAAATTGTTGTTGCTGGAAGTTCCAGCAGAGTTGGAACTGGACCAAGCAAGCATTGCCCTGAGGCTGTGCCTGTGCTAAAGGCAAATCTGATGCTACCAGAGGAAAAATGAATTACCAAGGTTTGGAGGTTTGTCTATAGAAATCACAGAGGCAGGGAGTGTTGTAGAAGAGATTGACTGATGGAAAGAATTCCCTCCTTCC